CTTACTTTTCCTTGGAAATTTGCTCAGTGGCTGTCAATCATGTAAAAATAGTTGACTTTTGAGACTTCACTGTTGCCTTTGAGAAAATTTTCATTATGCCTTCATTGTGAGCAAGAACAGTCAGAGCAGCCTTCTCAGACCTTCACATGACATCATCTTTCCTCCCTAAATCCAATATCAATAAAAGCAGAAAGCTTAAACTGTATATGGAAAAAGTGTAATGAACAAATGCTCTTGGCTATTGTTGAATCTTTGAGCTATCACTTCCAATCCCATAAATCTTCTAGCTCAATCATGTATTTCCTGGGCATGTAAGTGTGGTGTCTGGAGTAAAGGGGACACAATTCCCGTAATTACATTTAATAATATATGCTACTAAAATAAAAAAAAGAAAGGCAGCTGTCTTTTAATTGCTTTAAAAATGTTTATAACACTAATCCACTAGAGATTGAGGAGCTTGGAAATATTTATTCTTGGAATAGTTAAATATCTAATATTTGGGTTCTTAAGGTAAATTTGTCAAATAAGTAGCACATGCAGCCCCATAAACTCTTATATGGACTCTTGTTATACACAACTTATAATCCAATTCATGGTATATTCTCATTCACAATTTTGTGCCTCAAAATGTGTATATTGAAGACCTATTTATTTCTGGTCCTATGGCATTAAGGATTTTAAGGTGAGAAATACATACTTCCTGTTGTCAGTATTTTCAAAATTAGATTGAGGAAGCCGATTGAAAACAATTATGAAATCTTGTGTGTTGCCTTATTATTGGCAGAAGCATAGTCAGGACATGAAAGTAGAGACAATTAGGGCAAATGGGAAGAGCAGGTTTCTGGGAAGATTTTTCTGGGAAGGCCTAAGGAGACTCAATTTTCTTGCCAGTGTGCTCTCGACTGGTAACCAGCTATCAGATATCATAGTGTTAATTCAAATAAATGTATTCATTTTCTTGAGGGTATTTAGTTTACAAGTATTTTCTCCTGAGTGGATAGAAAGACTTCACCCTTGGCAAAAGTAGTGTTTCTTTACTTTGTGTTACCCCTTTTGACAATCTACTGTGGACTTTTCCCAGAAAAATAGATGGTGTTTGTGTTTATAAATTCGTACATACTTTTGCATATAGTTTTTAGAAATCACAAACTTAAAGCCTCCTTAAAGCTGACGACCTCAGCTTCAAACTGAAGAGTTAGAGCTCACTGAGGAACTGGGGACATGGGTGGAAGTGGCATTTTTTAAAGTTAAGGCCTAGGGAATCACAATCTTGAGTTGCTTATTCTTGTCATACGTTATTTTATAAAATGTACTTATTCTGCATACTATAATAAAAGCAGTCTTTCTGTTTTAGTCTCTGATTTTTTTTTTTTTTTTTTTTTTAAGTTTGTTGTGCGTTGGCGGCAAATAACCTTTAGGAGAAAAACAAACCCTGCGGTTTTTCATGTAGCTTAAAAATTGTTCTCTCTGACATTTAATTTTGGCCTATTGGTTAGCTCCAAGCCCCTATTTGACCATAAGAATCCAAGCTGAATTCCAAACAGATAGTAAATATTCTAAGTAAATATTCTAATTGCACTTGAGCATTTTCCTAGTATTGTCCCAATAACCATTTTCCCATTTTTTTTGTTCTGATCTCACTAACTTCAAATCATGTATTAAATGGGCCAAATGAACAATAATTCATACTTTTAAGACTATTTCTCTCCAACTTTGTTTTCTGAGGTAAAATAAATAGAAAATACCACATAAAAACGAAAACAAATTCCACAGTGGACTCGAGAATTTCATATGTATTTTTGCACCTAAATATCAAATATATATTAGATTATAATGTATTCTAATACATATGAGTATAAATTGTCATGGTCCAACTTACTGTACCAATGCATAAGTAAACTATTTTAGTATACAGAAATAGGACATAGATTTAAATAGAAGACGAATTAAGGAAATCTTCAAGTGTGTGCAATATAAAGGAAAAAATGCATTTTAGACTATATGACAGGTTGAGTGTTCTAATGTGCCTTTTTTTCTGTTGAGAATATCAAGATTTAAAGATGTATATGGGCTACAGTGCGTCAAGTCTGGCCCTAAATGAATTGGCTTAGTCACTCACTATTGCTTTCTTTCAAAGAAATATTTGGTGTTCTCCTAAAGCAATTTATGGTGTGTTAATCACTGCCAAACTATTCTGAAGTTATTAGTTTAGAAAAAATACCTGTAAATAAATGAGCTTATGTCCTCCAGAACTGTTTTTTTCTCCTTTTAAGTATCATCTAGCCTGGTACGCTTTCTTCTCGCCAGAAGTAATGTTTTGGCTTCTGTGATGTGATTTATCCTTGGACTGTTGATCTGTGTTTGATATCATCCACTAAGACATGAATCCTACTGCATATAAAAAGCCATTACAAGAAAATAAAATCTAAAACACATTTGAATTTTATTTTATGTGTACTACTTTTATTTGAAATGTAGTATTGACAAAGTACATTTTGCTTAGTTGAGTGCCTCAGTTTTCAGGTCAACCATCTGACTCAAAGAAGAGTGGGAATTTATTCTTGCAGAAAAAATTAATACTAATTAAGATGATGACAATGATCATCATTTGTAGTGATTGGGAGCTTGTTAAAAATGTAGAATCTGAGGCTCCTCTCCAGACCTACCAAATCAGAGTCTGCATTTTGGCCAGATTCGCTATGATTCTTACACAAATGAAAGTTAGTGAAGCACTGCTTCAGTGTCTGGTGATCACCACACTACCAGCACTAAGAAAGGAAGAGAGAGGCTGAGAGTCCCTGCCAGTGGATGCCCACAGCTATTTGCATTGTAAACGCACCTGATGGAAGTTCCAAATAACTAGTCAACTTGGATTTACCTTACAAATCTTAAAAAGTGTAAAATGTATTTTTATGAAAACCAACAAGCGTTATATTATAATTGGTAAAATATTTAACTTGGGTAAGTTTCTTGGGGGGTCTGGCTTTAGGGATGCTGGAGCATTAGTGTTTACTGCTGCATCTGTATGAAGCTGATTAGAATCCTGATTCAATTTCATGCATCAAAACCACCCTCTTAGCCAGTGTTATAAACTATTCTGTACACTCTTTGTGGCTTTGCTGCTATGATAGTAAACGAAAGTTAGCATTTCTTTGCTTCTTTAGACTGCCTTTCCATTGGAAATAGGGCCAGTGAGGGGTTTAAGGGATAAATCTAATTATAATAAAGATTTTTCCATATGTTAAAGTGATAACCTACATTTTACTAAATTCTATTTTCTTCCTTTCTAGATTCACACGTAAATCTAACCCCTTCCTTCTTATCTCATGTCAGTTTTGCACTGGATGAATAATTTTATATAATATACCTTTGATCAAAGCCTAAAACATTGCACAGCTTTTAGGACTGAAGTTTAAGCTTCATAAATAAGCTAATTTAAACTTCATAAATAACTTATTCTCTGTAGTGGTAAACTTCATAAATATTAAGATTTAAATCCAATAAAAGACAGTAATTTGAAAAGCATGGATTTTGTTACTTTCTACAATTTTAACGTATTTTCTTTCTTTTCCTTTTGGTTTCACAGAAGAAAATCTGAAGAAAGTTTTAAAAATAAAGAAAAGTGGTAAAACTATAAAAAAGAAATATCCCTGTATTTCCAAGCATTTTTCAATGTTCTACTTTCTCATGATTAATATACTATTTCTCAAGTTTTTTGTGCCTCCTAAAGTTACTGTGCTTTGACTCTGGCAGTACTAAGGGATTAGTTGGTCTAGCTTGTATTCAAATAAACAGGGAGACTATTTTATTGTTACACTAATGTATAAGACCAACTTTAAAAGAGAAATTCACATACTAGTTATCAATGAACTCTCCCATGGTTTCACAATGGTTTATAGAGCTTTGCTTTTTAAGTAGCATGAAACACTAGGTATAAAACATAGAGTCAGACTAGGGGCAGTTGCTCACTCTTGTAATCCCAGCATTTTGGGAGGGTGAGGCAGGAGTATTGCTTGAGACCAGGAGTTCTTTGTCAACCTGGGCAGCATGGAAAAACCCTTTCTGTACAAAAAAACAAAAAACAAAAAACAAAAAAAAAAAACAGGCATTACAAAAATTAGCCCAGCGTGGTGGAGTGTGTTTGTAGTTGCAGCTACTTGGGAAGCTGAGGTAGGAGGACTACTAGAGTCTGGGAGGTTGAGGTTGAGGCTACAGTGAGCCACGACCATGCCACTGCACTCCAGCCTGGGTAACAGAGAGACCCTAACTCAAAAAAAAAAAAAAAAAGAATCAGAGTGTTTTCAGGTTTTAGGGTAATGACTTGGTGGCTCTTGAAAATATGGACCATGTTATATTTGTCATTAAGAATAAAAAATCTGGCATCTAGTTGTTGCCTAAATAAATGTTGACTTGAGCATTACTTTTGGTAGTTACGTATCCATTTTACAGAGACTCAGAGGCAATGCCATCTTTAGATAAAGTGTATTATAAGTTGTATGAAATGTGGTGAATGAATTGGTACGATAGCACTATATATATTCTTTTGTCTTGATTGCACCTTGCATTATAAAATTATCTTAGTTTATAAAATATCACATGGTTTAATTGTTACTGCCTTTCCTTTTTCCTCTCATGCTGCTGGTCATAAGAATCCACAGAAGATGGAGACCTTTCTTATCCGATTTTCACATATTTGCGAATTAGCTCATGATTGCCTACTTTTTCTTTAGAATTCCCATAAATCAGTAAGCTTCTTATTCAGGAAACTATTTCCCCCGCTCTACAAACAACCATGTAAAAAAAATGGAGTTATGCCTTTTATAGGTGCCTAATATTTGTCCTGTAACAGGTCCAATGCATTCAGTTATGATTACTTTCTGAAAGATCTGTCTCTATCCAGACCATGTTTCCATATTTTTAACAATGTTTTTCTAATTAGCTTTGTTTGTATTGATTTCATGGAAATATTTTACATTTTAATTCAACTTTTCTTTTTGTAGCTGTATTTTGGGGCGATATTGCCTTAGATGATGAAGACTTAAGTATCTTTCAAATAGATAGGACAATTGACCTTACGCAGAATCCCTTTGGAAACCTTGGACATACCACAGGTATGGTTGATTGTTTCAGAAAATTTGTCTTTATGTTGGAAAAAATATACTCTTGAAATTCTATAAATATTTTTGGATCATTTTTAATCTCCAGTGGATCAACTTTGACTTCCTATAAACAAATATACATATTTAGAAATGCAGGTTTTATTCATAGTTTTCATTTTATTAATTTTTTTTTTTTTTTAACCAAACACTTTGCTACATACTAGGTCTGGTTTAAGTGCTTTGCAGATATTAACTCTCTGAATCTTCGTAACAACCCCCTCAGGGTAGTTACTAATATTACTATGATTTTAGAAATTAGCAGATTGAGATTTAGAAGGCTATACAGCTTTCTAGTTGTCACATCATCAGGAAGTGGCCATGTCAGAACCAGAATTCAGTTCTGAAAAAAGCTTGATTTCATCCTCTTGCATATTATATTAAGCTGCCTCTCATTTGGATACTGAGTTGCAAAACGTAAAATTTCTCTAATATTTTTAGAGAAATTATATAGGAAATACATTTGAAATTATATAGGAATAATATACGGAATAATATTTGGAAAATTTATATATCTATATCATTTTTGTGAAAACCCCAGAAGGCAATTTTAATTTTAGTTGATTTAAACATGTTTGAATTATGCCTGTAAGAAACTTGATATATGTAAAGGATTATTTCAGTTCTCATTTAACAATTTTTAAAATTAAAATTTCAAAATTCTTTATGGTATCTTGGTAAAATTTTAATCTGTGTATTATTTTGGAAAAAATTGCAAGGTTAGAAAGTTAAAATTTCTTTCTGTAATTATATGAATAGCTAAAATATTTATTTCATGTCATGCTTTTGATTTCATTGCATTCTATCTTTTTAGTATTTTTATTTTCTTCTATCCTGTGGAAATACAATATGTATTCCTTTCTGGTATTGAATACACATATATATTATAGACTTAAGACTTTTTACTGTGACTTTTTACTTTGCCCAATTTACTTTTTTTCCAACTTTTTACTATGACTAGTTTTAAATATATCGAAATATTTCTACCTCTTAGATTGTAGAATAGTGGTATTCTTCCTAGATTCAGCAGTTTTTAATAGTTTATTATTTTCACAGAATGGGAGTGTATGTGTATGTGTATGTGTGTGGGCATACATGCATAAGTGTATTTAAAACAAATTTGAAGTCAACTGCAGAAAACACACTTTAATATTATTAGGTAGCCTAGCGTGCACTTTGTAATAATAAAGATATTATTCTATATAATCAAAATACCATTATCAGATATAAACCTTTATTTAAAATAGGAAGTATATAAGAGAAAGCCTAAGGAATTCACCTAAAATAATAACACATACTATTTAAAAAGAGTGTGCTTTGGTGTTTGTTATGCATACGGACAATCTTTTCTGAAACATATGTCAGTATGGGTGCTAATATTGCTGTGCAGTGTCATCACAGATAGTGCGTCCATGTGGATTATGTTTATTGGCCAAATCTCCAGTTGCTGTATCACCTGTAACACTGTCACAGAGGCAATGCGGTCCGGACAGTAGAGCAATGATGCAACAATAAAATGCTAGATTTATTATAAGTTGCATTTCCAACTTTTATTAAAATTTTCATTAGCTCTAAGCTTTAGATCCCCTTCTTTGACCTCCCTCCTCCCATTATTTTGAAGACATTAATTCTCTATGATTTTAAATTTTTTAAATGTTATTTAATTTTTATTTATTGTTGAACTCTCACACCATAATAATTGGAAGAAAAATAGTGCTAGTTTAGACAAAGAATAAAACAGATCATACTGATAATAATAAAAATGTGTATTCTAAATTTTTCTGTGGAAGGTACATGTTTGAAAGTTCAATAGTAACTTGCACTATTCAGCTGAATTTCAAACAATGTAATATAAATATAGTTGTTACATAATGGTCATTTCAAACATCATTGATGCCATCATACTTTTAAAATGTTTCTCCTAATTGCTTAGGAATGAGTGTGTTTAAGTATTACCTCATCTTTCTAAAATGTGCAATGAAAAAATTTCAAAAATGTTTCTCAGATGCACAGCAAAAATGTGGCCATGTAATGCAAGTAATTAAGTAGATTATTAGTCAGTGAACAAGCACTCTTAACTTATCTGCCTTATAAGGACTTGTTTGATTTTTCCTTTAAGAGGTTTATATAGCGATAGATTTTATCATTATATTTTAGCTTCAGTCTAGGTAATGAGGTTCAGTACTAATTTTAAATGAAAAATAGATATTGGAAGGAAATAGTTCAAGTGATTTACAAATAGTTTGTTGTCTTCATGGAATTATAGCTTTCTTTGTCTTAGCCCAAAGATACTCTATGAACCATAGACAGTCCTTGTTACTGCAAATTCATAGGCACTTGTTAAGATGTCATTAGTGGGTATATTGGTTGTTTGCTCAATGAAAACTTTTTCTTATTTGTCTAATAAAAGTTCAAGAAGAATAGAGAAAATAGGTGACAAAACTGAGAGTAGCATTTTATGAAAGCCCTGGAACGAGAATCTGGAGACTTGAATTTTTGCCAAATGCTCTGCTTTCTAACTTATGACAGGAATCTACCTTTTCCAGGTTTTGTTGGTAAAACTGCAAGAACACACATTTTCTTATTCCTACCATTTCCTACTCCTTTTGCAGTACAGACTTTTTTACACTCTGTTTTTTATAAATTTTTCAGATTACACAGTGTAACAATATATTTTGCAGCTGAACATTCGTTTGGATTCCTGTGGCTTTTTCCAAATTATGTTTTTGATTTCTATAAATTCAACTAAAATTTCAAAATGTAGTTGAATATATTGTTAAAATGTGATATACTTTAAAAAGTTTTTGAAATTCATGGAAGCTTTGGAAGAAAACGTGCATTACACATTTGCTCTTCTAATGTTTTTATTTCCATTTGCTGATTTGGCCTCCAAAAATATTCAGTTTGCATTGGGGAAATAGCTGGCATGCAATCAACAGGGCAGAACAACTTGCTGTCATTCTATATAGCACTATGTGATGTCAAGGTCACAGTAAAGAAAAATGTTTCAAATTATCAATAGATGACTCAAATGTCATGATGTCCAAATAAAGTCATTTACATTGCTCTCTGAGTCTCCCCATCCCCTTATTTTAGTTACCAACATTGGTTACTGTAGAGTTTTTACCCTCTTCAAAGATTCATGGATATTCATAATTTCACCACTTTAAGACCACATAAAAAAACACCAAAGAGAAATCATTGTTGCCTATGACTGTTTTTTATTTGCAAGAACTTTAACATAGTTTGAGTGTAACTTGTTTCCTTTTATTCTTTAAGGTGGACTTGGAGACCATGCTATGTCAAAGAAGCGAGGGGCCCTCTACCAACTTATAGACAGGATAAGAAGAATTGGCTTTGGTATATCAATGTTTAAAGTTGCAGACGCTTGACTTGATGTACAGTAAATATTATACTCATAGCAGTTCAGTTTATTAAAATCAGTGTGCCATTATGATGTGAAGTATGTAAAGGATATATTCTAAAAATTTTTATTTTGCTAGCTCATATCTGCTTAAAGCCTTTTAGAACTCATTTGGAATAATTTGAAATGTTCCTTTATTTTAAGCTTTGCTTTATTGAAACATGTATCAGGTGTTTATTTTACTATTGATACTTATTTCTAGGCAATTGGGCATCACACCAAGGCATTTTTATAGAGCCTGGAGTTATATCAATTTTAATCCAGTGAAAAAATATCATGATTATTTGTTTTGAAATAAAATCTACTTTAAGTAAAATGAAAAACTAATTGCTGGATTTAAAAAATTAAAATGTTTTGACCATTCAAAAAATACAAAATAGTTACAAATATATATAAACATTTAGAAAAGCTGCCTCTGGTTTCATAATTAGTTAATATTTACAGTATAGAATGTATTAAAAACTATTTGTAGATTTTAGAGGTTTAAAATCCCATATGCATAGCTCATATTCTAACATTCCTTAAATTGATGGATTATTAATTAAATCTTGAAGTACGTATTTCCAAGGAATAATTTTCCCAAGAAAAGATGCTTTGCTCCAGGCTATTGAAAAGATAGACATGTTAGAGACAGAGTCCCTATTTGTTGTGTCAAAGTATATACCAGTGGCAGGATATTCATATTGACAGTGACAGATAAAAAAGAATAATCATGTATGAAAGGCCATTATGAAAAGGAAAAGACTATAGACTTGAAAGCTGCTCCAGAATAGAATGCATTTTGTTCGTGTTCTGTACCGACCTCTAAATCGTGCTGCATGCCTTAATATGAATCTTGAGCAAACTGGAATGGAGAGAGCTTGTTGTATGGGAGGCTGAGATCATGTCTGTCTTAATGTTACTTCATTTACTATCTGTATAATATAATATTCTTAATTTTAGACTATACTATAGAATATCAGTTCAGATTTGAAGGATTAGGAAACTAGCAGGAGGAACAAGAATCTTAAATATCATGTTTATTAAACAATATCTGTTTTAACTGTTGGTGAATTGGTAGTGAGCTAGCAAGACAAGAAACAGAAAACAAATGTTCTGTGTCCTCTAAGCCTGATTGACTTCTATCCGCTTTAGGCTGTTGTATGGATATTCATCAAAATTCACTCACAGAACATTAAGAAATAGTATTTTGACACGAAAGACTTCAATATTTTAATGCTTTTGTTCAAGTATGTAATACAGCTGAAGTTTTTCTTTAATGCATTTTGACTTCTGGCATTTATACAAAAATATGTAAATAAGACATTTTAACTTTTTTCCTTTAAGAGGTAAATGATTCCCTGACCAAGAACTTCTGTTTCACAGAATGTTTTAAATGTCACTGCAGGCTTGGAGCAAAACAACACAGTTAAGGGTAAAGTACCTCTACAATTCTCAGGGCAAAATGAGAAAAATCGAGTTCCCAGAGCCGCTACATCAAGAACGGAAAGAATATGGCCTGGAGGCGTTATTCCTTATGTTATAGGAGGCAACTTCACTGGTAAGATACTCCCAGAATGTCTGTTTTCATAAAGAAATAAAAACTATCACACAGATTAAGTGTCTGTTTTTATAGAATATTAACATAGGATACATAGTATAAAGTCCAGGTTGGAAAACTACTTCATTAACTTAGGTTATTAGTGTAGAGTGTCTTTGAAATTGAAAAAATATATTTGGTCTTTGTTCTAAGAGTTTAAAGCACTGTTCTGGTTTTTAAACAGAGTTTCAGATGTGCCTATCAAATTTGGAAGCTGATCTCTTTCAACTGACAGGAAGAATGTATGCCTCATTTATAGAGCCTTGTAGTCACATATTTGTAGAGATAGTGAGCTTTAGCCCTCTGATTATAAAGTGAGTGTCCATTCTTAACAATGACTCATTTGTGGTGCCATAAACTAGTATTATTTGGTTGATGATAGTGGTGGCATTCTACACTGCTCAGCCAGACTTAAGGTAGAGGATCCAGCAAGAAGCATTCTTCCTGGGGCAGCCACCTTTTCATTAACATCACACATTTTTTCTAGGCAGCCAGAGAGCTATGTTCAAGCAGGCCATGAGGCACTGGGAAAAGCACACATGTGTGACTTTCATAGAAAGAAGTGATGAAGAAAGTTACATTGTATTCACCTATAGGCCTTGTGGGTAAGTATAACTAGGGACTGACTTAAGGAAAAATAAATTAAAAGGAACAAAATTAAATATCCATAGGTAAGATTTATTTCTTAAGATTCAGTAATGCTGAATTTTGGTAATTTATCTTGCTACTCATTTTAGAGTTCAAAGTTTTCTCTGTGTTGTGTTTTTGGTGCTAAGAAGGATCATACTTGTATAGGAGTTGATCACTGGCTAGCAAAACATTATAATCATTCTAACTTCATTTGGAATTGACATTGTTGACACAGTTTCATAAAACATCATATTTCATGATGATTTTTCTATGATAATGCTTCACTTAAATCTCATAAAAATTCATTTAAATTATTAAAGAGCTTGGTAGTTGGTGTGCACAAAGTACTTCAGCTCAACTAGAATAAGATACTTGTCAAGTCAAGCACATTAACTCTCCCATTGGGCTTCAGTATTGGGTCTTTCATCTCATAATAAAAGACAACAATGTGGCAATAAAAGTGTAGTGTTTAACAACATCTAGTGTAATTGTTCATTGAGAGCCTGCAAGGTAGTGTAATTGATATTGATGGCAACATACATCAGTTCCATTTCTAAATTTAATCTGATAAGAAACACATCTTACCATTTAATAATGCTTTTATCACTTTCATTCAGCTCTCCTACAAACTTAGACAACTGGTAGCTCTTGCAATTTTTTAAAAATAAGAGCTAAAATAATCTTGCCCATATTTGTAGGAAGGACTATTATATATGAAACTACCTGTGTCTTTTAGAACATTAAATATTATTTCCCACCTTATTACACTATAGTCAGCTCTTATTCGATTAACATTATTGGTACATTTTCCATGTCAGGCCTTTGGTAGATGGGAAAATAATAAAATATAATAAGCAAAAGGTGAAGGTAGGAACTTTTTGCCACTTATCTCCAGCACATTTCCTCTTCTTAAATTGTATACAAGTATAGTTTATGTATGACTGCAGGCATGTTTGTATATATAGACACATGCATGTTTCTAAATATATGATCTCTTTGATTAATCTTCAGTGGGACATATGCTTTAACCCTCACCCTTATATTGGTAAAAGGTTTGAACTGAGCTATAAATATTTCATTTACATTTGTGCTTAGTATAACAATATGAGAGAACTCTGGTTGTAGCTGATTAGCAGGCTGCTCATCAGACTTTCTCAGCTACTTATCCTTATAGAGACAGGTAAGAGAGGAGGTTCTCTAACTGCCTTCTTATTTCTTCTTTTCCTTATTTTTTTCTTCAACGAAGTATTTTTCAATGAATAGTTATTGTCATCAGCGGTATTTATTTATTTTGCAAGATGATTGATTATTATTTGCAAAATGTGAGATTATTTTATGACAGATTGATTTCATTCTTTGTGAGAGATTTATGTAACTATGTGTATTACCTCAGTCTATTAGGTAGCCTTTTATAGCTAAATATATTCTATTTACATGACTTCCCTTATTAGATAATTTTTGTAGAACAATCTTACTTTTAAATCTAGTTATCTTTAATGATTGCCAAAAAAATTTAAAAAGTACATAAAAATTAACTGTAATTTTTATGATTAATCTTTAAATTAATGTGTTAAAAGATTAAACACAAATTAAAAATTTATGTTTAATTTTAAATTTTATGATTAAATGGTATTTAACTTTGGTCTATTTGGTTATTCAGGTTATAAAGGTAGACACTTTCAGACCAGGCGCGGTGGCTCACGCCTGTAATCCCAGCACATTGGGAGGCGAGGCGGTGGATCACGAGGTCAGGAGATCGAGACCATCCTGGCTAACACGGTGAAACCCCGTCTCCAGTAAAAACACAAAAAAAATTAGTGGCGGGAACCTGTAGTCCCAGCTAAGGGGGGCTGAGGCAGGAGAATGGCAAGAACCCGGGAGGCGGAGCTTTCAGTGAGCCTAGATCGCACCACTGCACTGCAGCCTGGGTAACAGAGCAAGACTCTGTCTTAAAAAAAACACACTTATTCCTATACTTGTTGAGTTCTTATTTTGTCCCACTTCCATACTACGTTTTGGGAATGTAATGTTGAGCACAAGGTGTTTTCTGTCCTCAAGGAGGTTATATAGTTAGGCAGAGGGGTGTGCTAGCCAGGATTCTTGTTTGCAAACAACACAGACTGGCTAACTTAAGCAGAAAAAATAATTTATTAGAAAGTCCTTTTCTCCATCTGAGACCACCTCAGTCTGGACTTTGTTGTCCATATCACTATCAGCATTTTGATCAAAACCATTCAACAAGTCTGTAGGAAGTTCCAAACATTTCCACATCTTTCTGTCTTCTTCTGATCCCTCCAAACTGTTCCAACCATTGCCCCTTACCCAGTTCCAAAGCTGCTTCCACATTTTCAGGTATTTTTATAGCAGTGTTTCACTCCCAGTACCATTTTTTTTTTTTTTTTTAATTAGTCTGTTTTCACACTGCTATAAAGAACTACCTGAGACTGGGTAATGTATAAAGAAAAAAGGTTTAATTTATTCACAGTTCTGCATGGCTGAGTAGGCCTCAGGAAATTACAATCATGGCAGAAGGCAAAGGAGAAAGTAAGTACCTTCTTCACAAGGCAGCAGGAGAGAGAGAGAGAGTGCGGGGGAAATTGTCACTTTTAGACCGTCAGATCTTGTGAGAACTCCCTTATTATCACGAGAATAGCAAAGGGGAGACCATCCCCATGATCCAATCACTTTCCACCAGGTCCTTCCCTCGACACGTGGGGATTACAATTTGAGATGAGATTTGGGTTGGGACACAGAGTCAAACCATATCAGCCCCAAAGTGCAGCTAATTTTTTTTTTTTTTTTTTTTTTTTTTTAGAGATGAGGTTTCACCATGTTGCCCAGGCTGGTCTCAAACTCCTGGGCTCAAGGGAGCCACCTGCCTCAGCCTCCCAAAGTTCTGGGATTACAAGCATGAGCCACCATGCTCAACCCTGGAAAACTTATTAAATCAAAACAAAAAAGAAACAGTTATTTTAATGGAAAGGTATATGGTGATTAACCTAAATAATTGAAACTATTTCAAATATGGCACATGAAAAGGCAGAACCAGTTCCACCTTCATGGATAATCTAATAGATTAGCTTCTAAAGGGGTTTTGTTCCAAAAGGGTTTGGTCTACCAAATAACGTTCCGAAGGGGTTTTGGTCTACCAAACCAAGGCAAAAGTAGGAAGTAGCAGATTTTGATTTACCTGATTACCATCTATGACTTATGGAGAGGTGAGGCTCTTCTGTTGATAGGGAAAGTTTTGCTCGGGGCTACAGGTAGACGTTAAAATATCCAAACTTTAAAAGTGGCACACAAATGAGAAACAAAATCCAACAACTGTATACGAGAAAATGGCATCAAACCTGGATGACATTAGAAACTAAGATAATATGTAGACATTTTAAAATCACATTAAAAATACGTATTACCCTTGTCTTTCCATGACTAATATTTGTCTAAGCATATATGTAGTTATTTTCTTAATCTGAGAGTCTAGAATTCATCTGTCCCCAAGACCTTCAATTAGTTAGGGATCAAAACACCACATTTTTGTTTTTTCACAGGACCATTGTAAAATAATACCTCTGAATAAGGCAGTGTGAAGTCTATTTTTCCTTTCCATTATGAAACCCCATCTTATAGGAAATTGCTATGAGTGCAATTATGCTAAAAAGGATGTTTTAGATGAAATAAATTGACCACATTGCTTTACTGTCTCCCACATTTTGACTTGCAAAGAACTTTATTCCCTGAATAAAGCCAGCAAGAATGACTCAATAGGGGTAATTTAGTTGCTGTATAATCATCAGATGCTTCAGTTTCATTACTATTGACTTAAGGTAGCAAATATTTTAGTTTAAATATCTCCAAAATTTGAAAATTTTGTGTTTTTTCTTCATCTAATATATCTTTAGGCATGTGATAATATTCAAATATATAATAAGTACCCATATATGAAGTAAAGCATATTATTTGGGAAAAAAAAAAAACTTCCTGGGGCAAAAACAAATTTCATTGATTCCTCTTTTCACCCACCAGTTACCTCTTTCTTCTTTCTACTACTGATTTATTAAACTCAGTTAACTGCTATAATAAATTTATAAATGATGAGTACAAATCAATTCATCTAACTGGCATAGTGTGGATGAAAATTCTTAGGCGTTTAAAGCCTACAGAAACAATTTGAAGATGAAAAAAAAAAGGGCAAGGGGAGAGGGAGATAGGGATTTATATTTGTGGAAAATCAAAAGGGCTGTCAAACGTACTTACCCCAGAAACTGAAATAGTGAAATTCCTCTTAATCATTCGGTCAATTAGTTTTGGGCAATTTTCTCTTCCAATTTAATAAATCAGAAAAGGTGTTTGGCAATGTCTGGTGCATCATGATCCCAACTATTTGAAGCCAACTATTTAGTGCCCTCTTTGCTGTGCTATTGATGCTATTTTAATGTAAACTCTAATTATTAACATTTTAGATGTATTTATAATTGTAGCTACTATAATATTATGCCATTTAAAATTTGTTTTAAAGTGGGCATCCTGTGTACTCAGTCTTTCCCACCCTGTGTCCCAAGAATATTTGGGACTGTCACACACTCACACACTTACACTTGCACACACACACAATGACTATATGGAATTTCTATAATTTGGATAGAAAAACACCAATGAGGCTGGCCACAATGGCTCACATCTGTAATCCCAGCACTTTGAGAGACCAAGGCAGGTGGATCACCTGAGGTCAGGAGTTCAAGACCGGCCTGGGCAATACAGTGAAACCCCATCTCTACTACAAATACAAAAATTAGTCTGGCGTGGTGGCAGGTGCATGTAATCCCAGCTACTCCAGAGGCTGAGTCAGGAGAATCACATCATTGAATATGTATAAATAGCAATCAATTGATGAAAATTTGCAGAAAGACATTCCTGGATGTTTCACATTCTATTTGACAGTCAAGGAGATTCTTTCAGATGATGAAATAAAAAATTAATCTCAATTATTAGAATGCTCATTTGACACAAATCACATAAATATCATTCATTATACTACTCCCAGTTGTTGATTTTTCTTTACTACTTGTCTTAGTCTGATCAGGCTGTTACAACAAAATGTCATAGACTGGGTGGCTTTTGAACAACAAACATTTATTTCTCACAGTTCTGGAGACAGGGCACTGCAGAATTGGTGTCTGGTGCATAGACGGATGTGAGATGTGTTTTTGCTGTGTTCTCACATGGTGGATAGGGTCAGGGGAGCTCTTTGGGGCCTTTTCCATAAAGGCAGTGATCTCTTTATGAAGGCAGAGTCCTCATTATCCCTAAATCACCTTCCAAGGACTCTGCCTTCAAATACTATCACCATGAAGATCAAGTTTCAACATATGAATTTTGGGAGGACATAAATATTCAGTTCTTAACACCAGTTAACCGTTAACCATAGTTAATTCATCTTTTGAAAATAATTTTCTGGCCGGGCGTGGTGGCTCAAGCCTGTAATCCCAGCACTTTGGGAGGCCGAGACGTGTGGATCACGAGGTCAGGAGATCGAGACCATCCTGGCTAACACGGTGAAACCCCGTCTCTACTAAAAAAATACGAAAACTAGCTGGGCCAGGTGGCAGGCACCTGTAGTCCCAGCTACTCGGGAGGCTGAGGCAGGAGAATGGCGTGAACCTGGGAGGCGGAGCTTGCAGTGAGCTGAGATCCGGCCACTGTACTCCAACCTGGGCGACAGAGCCAGATTCCGTCTCAAAAAAAACGAAAAAAGAAACAAAATAATTTTCTTTTCTTTCTTTTCTTTTGTTTTTTAAGAGACGGGGTCTTACTCTGTTGCTCAGGTTGGAGTGCAGTGGTATGATCCTAGCTCACTGCAGACTCAAACTCCTGGGCTCAAGTCATCCCTCCACCTCAGCCTCTGAAGTAGCTAGGATTACAGGTTTGCACCTCCATGCCCAGCTAATTTTTGAATTTTTTGTAGAGATAGGGGTCTTACTATGTTTCCTAGGCTGGTCTCAAACCTTCGACCTCAAACAGTTCTCCCAGGGTGGCCTTCTGAAGTGCCAGGATTACAGACATGAGCCACTGCAACCAGCCACAAATAATTTTCTTTAATTAATGTCTTCTTTGAAACGTTTCTTTTATTAAAAAAATTATTTCATGAGTAGAAAAAGTAATTTCTTTTTTTGATTAACCAACATATTTCATAAATAAGTTTCTGTTTTTCTCAAAGAGGAAAAATAAACTTTCCTTACTTTTACACTTAATGCTGAAATAATATTGAATTATCGTCAGATAACCACACTGACAAAGTAGTAACCTAAGTAATTAATATGAATTCTGAGGATAAAATTATATTAGACATAAATGTGTATTGATGTCTTCAGCTGAACTATATGTCTTCAGAAATACAACATCATCATGATGATATAATTGTCATCATCATGATAATTATTTTATTTTCTGATGTATTTCTGAATGCTTCTAAAAATGATGTAAGCATATTTTCTAATATATAGATAATTACAAAAGCACTTGAACTGATTATTTCGAAACTTTTGTTGAACTTAAAATTGAAAGGATACCAGAAACTAGTCATATGTAGTAATAAGAGGTTGTTGTACTCCTGAATGTGTTGGACTTTATAGCTCATCACCATTCTTTACAAAAAATTCACCGTATTGTCAGTTGTCCGGCACCACCTTTCCACCACTATTTCCACTTTCTCCTTTATTCCAGATGCTGCTCCTATGTAGGTCGGCGGGGAAATGGACCTCAGGCAATCTCTATCGGCAAGAACTGTGATAAATTTGGAATTGTTGTTCATGAATTGGGTCACGTGATAGGCTTTTGGCATGAACATACACGACCAGATCGAGATAACCATGTAACTATCATAAGAGAAAACATCCAGCCAGGTGAGAGGCATAGGATGTGTTGGGTTTAAGACTGACTGGGTATCTTTGAATCGTATTTATGCAGTGTATTATTTCACTTTCCCAAAAATGTAAACTTATATTTTTGATATGAGAGAGTAACATTTTGCTTGATTTAAAATTACCCATGATGATTTTATATTTTAATTTTTTTCCTGGAGACTGTGTGATTTCATGCATTTTTAGACTTGCTTTCTTTTTTAAGATTTAGCTGTTTTATTTCTAAACTTTAGTGCTTTCCAAGAATGGGTGTGAGCTATTGAACCATAAATTAATATTATTAAATATTTCTTTTTTACTTAAACGTTTTTTGTACTAAGTTCTATAATTTATGTTATAAGGATTTTAAAAGGGCCCAGGGTTTGCCATAAAACGTGCTGCTACCATAGGAATCTGTGTTATACCAGGTACAATTTCTGGAGAAAATCCAGTGAAATGAGTCATTTCCAGCTAATATAAATAGTTTTTTCTGAGATTTTCCTCTTAAACTTGACTACCTTCAAGACAAATTCTTAGGAAAGTTTTCAGTAACTGAAATATAATTTCTACTTAAAATCAATTTTTCTCTGATAATTGATATTTGATAATGACCTCAATGTAAGACTTTTTATTTGTTTAACTTTTATGTACATAAACATCAGTATATTTCAGTTGCCAAAAAATATTCTGTTGTTTGGAATTTTCTCGTAAGGTATTTTAAGTATGTATTTTAAGCATAAGCAAAGTAAAAATGTGTTTTTATTTTCTTATTCATGATCAGTTTTGTTACAGACCTTGAATTCCTTTTGTAATTAGCAGTACTGACCTCTTTATTTGCTCATTATATATTTGATGCCAATTATTTATTGAGCCAATTTTAGGCATTGAAGATACTGTCATGAAAACTACAAAATTTAGTGTGGGATATGTGCATATGTATAAATGATTGCAAATGAGTGAGAAAAATGACAGTAGTTAGTAATATATGTTGAGAATACTGTAGAGTCCAAGCAAGGCGTGACGAGAAGTGCCTTAGTGAGTCAAGGCAGTTGTAAAGGAATGGAAATTCAGAAGTGAAGTATTTCAGGCGGACAGAAGAGTGATTAAATTTCAAGCAAAAAGAACTTCATGAGCAAAGCTACAATTACAGAAAATTAAATTATTTTTATGTGACCATTATGGTTGATGCCGTTACAAGTGGGAGATTAGTTGGTATCTTATCCCTTACTTAGAGAAGATTCTCTATGATGTAAACCTGGGGAGGAAATTCAGGCTTTATTCTCTAGCTAGTGGGGAATAATTAAAGGATTATAAGCAGGAAAAGTTCAGATTAAAATAAAGAGAACTCATTTTCGCAGTCAGACTTACAGCAATCATTAACTGGGTGTGGTGGGATGTGCATGAAGTCCAGAAAATCTATTAGAAACCTAAATAAGTAGATATGAGAGGTGACTAGTTTCTTAGTTAGGGTAGTACATGTCAAAAGGAAGAAGAGGAAATAGTCTTTCAAAAATATTTTAAGAGGAATATCACCATGTGAGGGGAAATCTTCAAAAGTTTTCTTTTTAAGCCAGAAGATGAATGTTAGTACCATCACAGGAAACATTTGAGATATTGAAATATTGATAAAACAGCATGTTTTTGAGGAAGAGAAGGACAAATAATGATTCAATTTAGCATATCCTTGAATTTAAAAAGTCTTTATATGATCCTTATTTTGTAGAGAAAGGAAAGGTGAGTCTGGACTTCAGGATGTATCTAAAGATAAAAATTTGACATAGATTTGACTAATTAGGGAAACACTGGAGGGAGAAGAAAAAAAGGTTGAGGATATAAAATGGGTAAAAACAATATTTAAGCAATATTTAGTAGAGAATGTCCTAAAAGACTAAGAATGTGTTGCCTAAAAGGTAAGAGAAAAATCAGTGGATTGTGGTGTCCTGGAAGCCAAGGAAATAAATAATTTGAAGAATGGCAAAGTGATCTGTAGAGTTAAATATCAAAAATTAGTTTAAAAAAGTATACTCCTCTATATAGAAGACTCTAATGCATGAACTGACTACCAGGATTCATCCTATATATCACTAGGAGGGAAATAAAGAAGAAATAAATCTGAAAGTTATTTCAACTACCACATAAATGAGAACTTTGCTGTTAAAAAGAGTTATTAGTGTTTTCTAGCAAACAGAAAAAAATAATTTATTGGGTGAGATTTCCTGAATGATGGGAACCACTGTAACAGAGCAATTCCAGTATGAAAGTGTTCATGTTGAAGATTAATCTTCAACAAATTTGTGATTTGCTGTCACTCAGAAACTTAAGGTCAAGTCTTAGTCAAGGGTGATGTCTAATAAGCACACACTTTGGCTTCGCATTTGTATACAAAATCAGGGATTATGATAGGAACCAAATTGGTATAAGGATCTAATCCATGTTGGAATATGATTTCAAGAAGGAGGCTTGCCATTTTTAAAATTGTCAAATGTGGTTTCCCTTAGTGCTATGTATTCTGTTTCTCTTTCCTTCTTTCATGTAATAAGTCTATTTTTCTGTTATTTGGGCTATGTATGGCTATGTTGTTTTTAACTAAAAAAAAATATTGTGTCATATACACATTATGTTCTCAAGTTAGATGCATTGAAATATATTACTGAAGTTGCGTAATGTTCTACTTTCAGAAATTTTTATGAAACATTTTGCCTTAGTTAGAGAATCTGGTCCCATATTATACTCTAAATTGAAATCTTACAGGTTAGTAAGTATAAAATTAGATCCACAGCCTTTTGAAAATCTGATTGTGGATTTGTTATATTAGACTTCAGATTCCTTATGAGACAAGAGTTTTAACATTTGCCTCTATCATGGGTAGAAGAGAATGATGAATATTTCCCAAGAATGGTTATAACATAAATAGACCTATCAGAGATTTGTGGAGCACATATTTCATTACAAGATCTGGTTAGTTAATTTTAAATTATATATTGTTTAAATTCATTCAAAGACAGACTAAGACACTTTGGTCTGGGACTTGGGTTCAACTCCAGGTTGATTCTTCATTCTTAATTCTCAAGCAAATATCCCGGATTTCCTTTATCACATGTAGGAGAGACATAACTCAATTTCTTTATTGCCTTTAGAAAACTCTTTGTTAATGTGATCTTTTTACGTTTAATTGAAATATGGCAATTGGAATTAAAAACCTAAGTAGATGAATGGCATAATAGTTCCATTTTTAGCTCCAAAAGTGAATTTAGAATTCCTATAGCTCATCTTTCTTTGTCTTTTGATGTTTCAAAGCTTTTTGTTACGTAAGTGATATGATTTGCACAATCTTTGGGTACTTAAATTGTGAAATCACTAAAACTTAAACTCTGTTTTAAGAAATGTTTCTTTCTGGAACCATTGAATTTAGGTCTGTGTTCTTTTCAAATTTCGAGAAATAATACTACAATACAGATACAAACAGGCAATTGAAAAATCTATTAAAAATCATGTCCAGAAGTTAAACTAACAGATGTGGAGATTGAAAAAAACATTCAAGTTCTGAAGCATGTTTTTCTTAATCTCAAAGGAGAACTGCCTTTTCATCAAGAATAAACTTGTTTCATTTTTAAATGAAAGTAGAGAATTGGCTGCTATTGTTTTATCTTGTGTGATGAAATCATGGAGCTAAAGCCTGCAGAACTTTGTTTAACTAATATTGCTTTTATATCTTTTCCCATTGTTTCATAGAAGGTATCTAAACCAAATAGGAAGATAATTTTTGTGGGACCTGGCAGATCTAGTCATAAAAATGGGAAACTCATTAGATAAAAACATAACTTTTTGTAATTATTTGTCCATTACCAAAAACACAGTAAGATTTTAAAGAAATAAATATTATGAGGTGGTAAAAGAGCATATGTATGAAACAAAGTCAAAGTATGCTTTTTGGTAGTCCACCTTTTTGCGGAAATTAACACTTTGTTCCAATTCAATATCGCTTTTCAATATGATGGTAGAGTGAAGACAGATGCTTTTTGCCTGTGCCTGTGCGTTTGTATGTAAATTCGATCAGCAAGATCAGTCATTTCACAAAGAACAGATGCAGGTGTGGGAAAGGCCTTCTGGTCTATTTTCTGTCAGTTAAAAGGCTTCTGAGATTTTGTTTATCCCTGTTCTTAGGTCAAGAGTACAATTTTCTGAAGATGGAGCCTGGAGAAGTAAACTCACTTGGAGAAAGATATGATTTTGACAGTATCATGCACTATGCCAGGAACACCTTCTCAAGGTTGGAGTCTCAGGTTATACCTTTTGACTTTTAATTCCTTTCCTCCATGTGGCTCCTCACAAAGCTATGCCTTACATTGGAACTAGAATTGCTTTCAAATATTGCTACCTCACTGCAGAAAGTAGAAAATAATTCATGAACATTTATAGCCAAGAGCAATATTTAAAAGGCATTTTAAAAATATATTTTTACATTCTCTACCAAAAATGTGAATTTAAAGTGATAAGATGGTATAAATTATGTAAACAATTTTATACTTTTAAACCATTAAAAAGTTGAATTAAAAGCATTACCAACCCAATCAGCATGTTAAATTGGCAAAGCATTTTTTAATGAAAATTGGATATTCACAAGCTAAATAGGTTATTTAGCAGCTCAGTTGGAATGTTACAGTCTAGGCGACTTGTGCTTTATACTGTGTATTTTCTACTGTTCAAGTACAACTTACACTCAAAAACTGATGTTACTAAATGAATTGTCAAATAACAGATTAGAAAGATATTTTGCCTCATGTAATTTAGAATTATAGTTCATCACTCATTAACCTTAAAATTATGTCATTAATGACTTAAAGCTACTTTTAAAGAATGCAATAAATTTGGGTTTTGATCTACTTGATTCTAAAGATGATGTCATCAAGCAAATAGTTCCCAGGTAAGGAATTTGGAACTGTTAAACCATTGAATTCACCCCTTTTTCCATTTATGCCCATTTTATGCTCTTATGTCATTTCAACTCTTTTTTTTTTGTGCCCACTTATGTCCATTTCACAGTCCATTAACATCTATTTCTCAAGGCAAGGTCAGGAAAAGGGAAAAATATTCAAATTTATTAAACTGCTTTCATAAAACTTTTTTGGGTAAAAAGTAGAGAAGGGTGTGTAAATGAAACCTTAATACTTGGACATATTTATTAACTATTCATTTTTTCCAAACCAAAGTTTATTATTTAAAAAATTTGTGTTAACTGTGTTTTTAAAATTACTCTTTTCTAAAGTACATTGTTTATAGACATATGTATTCATTTGTTAAAATATAATTAACTATTCAAATGCTTATTTTTTCTGGAATATGAATATAAGTTTTGATAGAAATACCTACCCAGTAATTTGACCTGAAATTAATCATAAAGAGTTACAGAATTTTATTTTCTGGTAAATGCTTGGAATGGAGTTTTCTATAGAACATGTAATAAATGGGTATTTGGGTTCCAGTTCAGTCCAAGTGCCTCTCTTCTGCTGCTGAATTATGTTATTTAGAACTAACCTGAGTTTTGGTTCCTTGGAACAGAGAAGGTACTGGAGAGTAGAGAAAAGCGATTTATTCTTTTTGTTCTTCACAGTTGATAAATCTTTAGCAAAGTTCTAAATGTATGTTTCCCCTTATTCTATACTCTTTTTCTATGTTACATTGCATATTTTCCCATAAATTAATCTGCTCTTGTTGTCTATAGTCCGCCTAACCCACACTTGCTTATGTGTTGAATACCAATCAGCCTTTGTTTATTAACTTATCCTATTGTTTCAAAACCATTTTATGCATTTTTCATAAATAAACTCAACACTTCTACGGTACAGGAGATCATATCCACCTGTTAGAAGGATAGCCTCATTGTTTCATTCACATTATTTTATTTTTCGAGTCTTTAAAGAAGCTGTTTATTAACTTATATTTAAATGATTTTCAGGAAAAGAAAAATTTGACACAGGTATCATTCTGCTACTCCTTCAAAGTTTTTGAATTTTTTTTATTATGGAAAAACACAAAACATCAAATTTACTAAATTAACCATTTTAGACATAAAAGTCAGTAGTGTTATTTAAGTATATTGACATTATTGTGAAACAGGTGTCCAGAACTTTTTCATCTTGCAAAACAGAAACTCTATACCTATTAAGCAACTTCCCTTTTCCACCTCTTCTCAACCCCTGGCAATCACCATTCTACTTCCTGTTTATAAATTTGACTGCTTTTGATATTGTATATTACTGGAGGCATATAGTATTAGTCCTTTTGTGATTGGCTTATTTCACTCAGTATTAGTTCCTCAAGGTTGATCCATGTTGTAGCATGTGAAAGTATTTTCTCACTTTAAGGCCAAATAATATTTCATTGTAAGTATATACCACATTTTGTTTATCTTGTCATCCATCAGTGGACATTTGTGTAGCTTCTGCCTCTTATGAATAATGCTGATATAAACATAGGTGTGCAAATATCTCTCCAGCATGCTATTTTTTGTATTTGAATAGTAGCCATTCTGAGTGTGATGTCATATCTCATTGTGGTTTTAATTTACATTTCTCTGATGATCAGTGTACATCTTTTTATATGCTTGGTGGCATTTGCATATCATCTTTGGAGAAATCTTTATTTAAGTCCTATGCCCATGTCTAAATCCGGTTATTTGATTATTTTCTTGTGGAGTAGTAGAAGTTCTTTATACATTCAGATTAAATCACTTATTTTATTTATATATTTTTATTTATATATATATATATGTAATTTGGAAATTTTTTTTCCATTTCATACATTGCCTTTTCATTCAGTTGACTGCATCCTTTAATATATACAATGTTGTATGTTTGATGTCATCCTATTTGTCTATTTTGGGTTTATTGATTGTGCTTTTTGTGTCATATCCAAGAAATCCTGGTCACATGCAACACCATGAAGTTTTCCCCTTGTGTTTTATTCTAGGAGTTGTATAGTTTGGGTCTTGTGTTTATTTATTTAATGCACTGAGTTAATTTTTTAAAAGTGTTTTTTAAAAAGAGCCCAATTTTATTATTCTATATGTAGATAATCCAGTTTTCTCAGTATCATTTGTTGAAAAAACTGTCACTTCCTAATTGAGGAATCTTGGCACCTTTGTCAAAGATAATATGATCATGTACATGGTGATTTATTTCTGTTCTCTTTATTTTATTTCACTGGTCTATAGGTCTGTCTTTATACCAGTACTGCACTGTTTTGATTACTGTATCTTTATAATATGTTTTGAAATCAGTTCTGCAAAGTTGGATTGTGAATATTCAAATATTTTTTCTTTTTCAAAATTGTTTTAACTATTTGGTGTATCTTGAAATCACATAGGATTTTTAGGATAAATTTTTCTATTTCAGCAAAAAAAAAAAAAAATGTTGGGATTCTGATAGAAATTGCATTGAATTTGTAGATCACTTTGGATGTATTAATTCTTAACAGTGTTAAGTGTTTCAATTCAGGAACCAAGGGATCTTTGTCTCTTCTTTAATTTCAGCAGTGTGTTTAGTTTTCAGTGTAAAATCTTTCACTTCTTTGGTTAAGTTTATTTCTAAGTACTTTTTTAATGTTATTGTAAATGGAATCAGTTACCTTTTGGATTGTTTGCCATAAATGTATAAAAATTCAGCTATTTTTGCATTTTGATTTTATATCCCATGACTTTGCTTAATTCATTGACTGGTTCTAACAGGGTTTGTGTGTGTGTGTGTGTGTGTGTGTGTAATAGTTAGAATTTTCTATGTATAAGATCAAGTCATTTCCAAACAGTGAGAATTTTACTTCTGTCTGTCCAATTTGGATGGCTTTTATTTTATTTTATTTTGTCTCATTGCCCTGGCTGGGGCTTTCAGTACTGTGTTGAATATAAGTGACAAGGGTGGGCATCCTTGCCTTGTTCCTTATCTTAAAAGAAAATATTTCAGTTTTTCACCATTGATTATGACATTAGGTGTGGAATTTTCATATATAGTTTTTATTATGTTGAGGTAGCTTCCTCCTATTCCTAGATTTTTGTGTGTTTATCATGAAAGCATGCTGAATCTGTCGAATACTTCTTCTATATCAGCTAACATGATCGTATGGTTTTTGTTCTTTATTCTGTTAATGTAGGTGTTTGAAGTTTCTTAGTTTAAAAAATTCTGAACCCACAGAGTCTATAGAAGTTCCAATTGTTTTTATGATGTTGCCCATCAATATATTTAGGAAATCACTTATGGGAAGAATAGGAATGGATATATAGGGTCTTTATATGAGTGACTATTTTGTAATATGCATGCTTCTGAACTGTGGACTGCCCATTTTTCATTTAAAAAGTTGTAAAATTTTACAAATTTTTGTTAAAAGCATAGCTGGTTTGCTCTTTCAATGTAGTAAGAACAAATCAGGAACAGTAAGTGAACCATGATATGATCTGTCTCTGCCTATTGATAGTGGCTCACTGAGGAAGTTCAGTAAGATCTTGTATTACTTGTCGGGATATGGAGAAAAATAATTATTAACTTCCTGACCACAAAAAAGAAGTAAAGAATGAGTGACTAACTCCCTTGAAATGGAAGAGAGATTACCTTAGTAGACAGAATGAAACAAAATTCATAATTCTGTTGTCTGAAATTGAATATATTCTCTCCAAGATACCATTGACCTTTTTAAATTGAATCTGTTTTTTGAAAGTTAGGAAAAAATCGAACCCCAGAGACCACAAATTTGTTTTTAAAAATAGAAAAAGAAAATAGTGAATACTTTGTTAGTGCTGAAATACTACAGAAATCTAATACTCCATTAATTTGAGTTTATGTAATTAATGTATCTGTTGACTCATGCCTCAAGTTACAAGGCTTTTCTCAATGCTACCTTGTAATTTGTTTCTTTTTCAATTACACTGGCCTGCCCAGAGTGGTTTCTTTTGAAATATGCACAAACTCTCACTTTTGATGTTCAATTCCCGTAAATCACTAGCTCTACTTCTCTACTCTCTTTTCAGACAGTATACATATGGAGTTCTGTAGATGTTTAGATCTTGTAGTAAAGAGTTCCAGTCTCCCTATTTGAATTACTTGTGTCTAAAAGTCAGTGCCCTTTCCCTTACCTAGGAGCTAGGGCAGTTCGTAATAAAATTGCTTGTAGATCATATTACTCATCTGCTTACTATTTTCCTGTAAATTAACAGTTGTCCTGAGAGTAAAAGTTAAATTATCTGGCTGGTACTCAGATATTTTAGGGGTCCTCTCATTTCTGAGCTGTTGTGTTTCTTGTTCTTTCTGTCTGGAAATACTCTACTGCCAGTTACCCATATTTCTCTGATCTTCACTTTCTTCACATGTGACTAAAATGTCAACTTTCAAGTGAGTTTCATTTTGATCACTCTATTTAAAAGCAGTCTATCACTGCACAATCAATATCCATTTTCTCACCTTTATTTTTCTCCATAGTACCTATTACTACCTAGATTATTAATCATTTGTTTAATGTCTCTTTCCTCGCATTTGAATATTAGAATCATAAAGGAAGGAATTTCTGTTTGTTTTATTTACTGCTATAAATCCGTACCTAGAACAGTACCTAGAAACTGTTTCCTAATGGAAGCTAAGTAGAGCTGAAAATGCTGTTCTTTTAATGTGAATGTTAGTTTAAATTCATTATATTCATTTATAAATTTTGGAAAGAAGTGCTCCATCATTATCTCAATTTAAAGGATATTATACAAGTTTATTTCTTAATTTAAGATATTTTTATATAAAGATTTATTGTTGTTGTTGTTTGTTTTTGGTAAATCCACAAACACACAACTCATACTCCTCAAACCCTTGGAACAGCCTCCCGATTCATTTAACTTTTAAGCTCCCACTTCTTTAGAGCTCTAAATGTTTGACATACATTAAAGAAAAAATTAGAAAGTATTTTTAGGGCATTATATTCAGGACTTTAGGTCATGCATATTAGGAAAGATTCGTGAATCTTTTACCACAATCTTGATCCCAAACAACTCACTATCTGTAGTTTAACATTATCAGGGCATTGATTAGGCTTCCTTATTTACTAGTTTTACGATGGAAAAATTGAAAAAATTGCTTTAAACTGCCCTAAGTTTTGACATTCTTTGTTGTTGTTGTTGTTTTAAACACATGCTGTAATACTTGGACTTCTAAGAATACTTAGGTTAAATTAGTAGTTTAATTCAGAAAAATTAACCTATGTATATTTTGTTTTACTCTTACAATCTTAGTAACTTCAACATAGTTTACTGTAGTTTGCTATTAGGGAAATAGACCTCTATGAGGAATCATTGTTTTACAACCTGGTAATCTAAGGAATTCTTAGATCTGCTTGGGAAACCAAAACAAATGTCATGGTGTAATGTACCTTGTGGGAGATTATAAGGTATTCCATATTTTTAAGAACATATGTGTTTCAAGGAAAAAAATGAATGACATCGTTGAGTTTATACTAGGCATACACATTTAATGTGCATATTTTTTTTTCTACTTTGATGAAAGTGTTTTGAAAGCCTGATACACTGCTTAAAGCACACAAGGTGTAGTTCCCCTTTGATTGACTTGAGTTTGAAATAAATAACCTTATAAATGTAAGGAATTCATGAGTTTTTATTTGGTGACTTAGGTGTGGTTTGCTTCTGCTTTTTTTCAGGGGGATGTTTCTGGATACCATTCTCCCCTCCCGTGATGATAATGGCATACGTCCTGCAATTGGTCAGCGAACCCGTCTAAGCAAAGGAGATATCGCACAGGCAAGAAAGCTGTATAGATGTCCAGGTATTGCACTACACAAACACAAGAGCATGACTGTACTTGATTGTGCTCTTCCAGATGAATAAGCCATGATTTACTCAAGCATTTATTTGTCTCCCTCCCTGTTGGCAAATGATGTGTATAGTTCAAAGTCAATAATCATAAAATGAGGCAGGAGGGAACTATGGAACATCCAATTGCTGTAAATAAAAACAAGTTGTTGAAATCCAAGTTCAAGCACAGGGATAGCATGTTTTCTTTCTTTTAATTTAATGAGTGAAAGAGCAAAATAGAATGGTTGCTTGATAGTCATTGATTACATAGTTGCATGATTTCATAGTCCTTTCTAACATAAAAAGAATATCCTTTATTTGAACTTCAGAATTGGATCCTGGATGATCTTTTCTCGCAAGTACCATCATTAATGGCATATAAATTACAATTTTATCAGTTGGAATTTTTAATTTTGTTGTAAAAAAAAATGTTCTAACCAGTTGCAAGTGAACTACTGTATGTTTTGCCCCTAAATAAAGTTTCATGAAAGGTCTTAATGTTCTAAGGGAACACTATGCCTTAATCGTCCAAGAAAAAAAGATTCTGTTTTCCACATTAGAAATCTAGATTCTATGCATCTCCAGTATACTCACAATATTTGAAATATCTTACAGCAAAGAAACATGCTTAACTTTGCATAACACAGTCTTTTCCAAATTATTTGTCCAAAGAAACCTCCTTTTACCCAATACTTACTTGTAGAATTCACTTTTGGAAGTATTGTTCTAGATACTTAAGGTTGCAGATATAATAAAACAATAACTATAAAAGTTTTAATTGGCTGCAAATCTGATAATATTTGCAGAAAATCAGAGAACTGATGAATATCTTAATCACTGGAGTTTATAATTGCTTATGTTTATTTATATATTGTTATTGGGAAATTCTTATATTAATTAAATTTTTATGATTCCTGGTGTCAGTCCAGGGTACTTTTAGGCTATAGACGAGGGCTAGCTAATTCATTCATAAAAATTTAATATGTACTCATAGACATATGGTATAGAACCCTTCTGTTGGACAGATAAAACTCAAGTGCGAGCAAGAAAAAGTGAGTTGGTTGAATAATCCCAGGAAATATCTGGGAACTTCCCAGGAAGTTCATAATTCAGTATGTGATGGTACTTAAGTCGTTGATTCAACCCAGTGGATTCTGTTGACAATCCTGCTGAGAGAAGGGATTTCCTATTCCTTAATATTAGATTTGCTAAGGAAAATTGTAAGAAATTATGATTTTTTTTTTTTCAATTTTACTGTAATTGTTAGCTTTCTTGTAATTTAGGACTATTAAGTTTTTAAAAGGGCAGTTGATACTTTTGGAGTTTAAAGCTGTATATAAAACCTTTTACATCATAATGATTCAATAATGAAAGTGGGTTTTCAACATTTTTTTGTGTATAAATATATCTGTCTGCCTCTCTAATTTTTTCATGTACCAAAAGACATTTCTACTTAATATTCATTAATTTATTTACTTCGTGTTGTTTACTTAAGTTGCATTCATATTTACATAAATGCCTTGAAAACATTTTATGTATGTTAGATACACATGTATATGTGGTATATTTTTAAAATTCAAATTTCTATAGGAGAAAATGAATTTATAAGAGAATGATACCACTACGACAAAAAGATATGGATGATCCTTGACTAATGTCTAGTAACACTGGGCATATACTTTTCAACTTTTAAAAAGTGAAAATTATTTGATTAATAGTAACTAAGTAAATGGCCACTTTATGTATAAAAGTATCTTGATTATATCTCTAAATGTATGTCTACATACATTACATTTGAGAAGCACACTAGAGATTTGTTTGCACACGGAATTGTAGGAAAGTCAGGAAGAATAAAAAACTAAGCTTATGATACTGTAATTTAATTTTTAGCCTACAATTCTTGGATATTTCAGTTATAAACAGGAAGATAATTAGAAGTATAGTTTCTACTTTAGATTTCAATTGTGTAAAATACATTAATGGGCCATTTTCTTACTTGAAATATAGAAATAATAATATGTACACTATTTTGTTTAATACAATAAAACCACATTGAAGAAAGCACTATGATCTGTGAAAAAGATATTTTGTATTTCTGAAACCGTATGAAAAGCAAATTACTGTATTACAGCTAATAAAGTACCTGGAGTAAGGAAGAGCTAAAAGATATGTAAATATACATATATATCTCTCTCTACACACACATATATCTACACATATATATGTGCATATCTACACATATATTTATCTACACACATATATCTACACACATGTATGCATATATATACACATATATGTCTACACACATACACATACACACACACACACACACACACACACACATATATATATATATCTCTTTTAGTGTTAAATTTTAGTTCCCCAAATCTTTGGGAATGACTTTTTCTTCTATCTTGGCCTTTTTTTTCACTTTTATCTTTGACTCAGTGGTTATATGCAGTGGTTATATGTGCAGGTTTGTTACATGGGAATGTTGTGTGATGCTGAGGTTTGGGCTGTGAATGATCCTGTCATCCCGGTTCTAAACGTAGAGCCCAACAGGTAGTTTTCAACCCTTGCCGCCTCCCAGTCCCTCCCCTCTAGTAGTCCGTACTGTCTATTCTTCCAATTGTTATGTCAAAGTATACTCTATGTTCAGCTCCCGCTTATAAGTGAGAATATGTGGTATTTGGTGTTCTGTTCCCAAGTTAATTCACTTCACATTATGACCTCCAGCTCCATTCATGTGGCTACGAGGAACAAGATTTCATTCCTTTTATAGCTGTGTAGTATTTCATGGTGTATATGTATCACACTTTCTTTATTCAATCCACCATCGATGGCCATCCAGGTTGAATCCATGGCTTTGCTATTGTGAGCAGTGCTGCAATGAACATACCAGCGCACGTGCCTTTTTGGTGGTACGATTTGTTTTCCTTCGGATATATGCTTAGTAATGAGATGGCAGGGTTGAATTGTAGTTGTGTTTTAAGTTCTTTGAGAAATCTTCAAACTGCTTTCCCCAGTGGCTGAACTACTTTTTATTCCCAACAACAGTGTGTAAGCATTCTCTTTCTCTACAGCCTTGCCAGTGTCTGTTGTTTTTCATTTTTTTAATAATAGCCATTTTGACTGGTATAAGCTGGACTTTTTAATGTTCACCAAATAGCCCCCTCCTTTCCTCTTGTTCTTTCTCTTTTCCTCTGTTTCTTTCTCTGCCCCTCTCAGCCACTCTGTGCATGTGGATATATCTATCTCCCTTTTTGTTTCTTTCTCTTTCTGAAATAGTTAGCTTTGAGCCCTGCATATAGTTATATGTTTAAGGTTCTTCTCTTTTCCTTAAATGAAGTGCACTCATGACTTATCAGGATAAGGACAATGATACTGGCATAAATATACTTACCGCAAGCCAAATGACATTAAGCTACACTGATGCAGTAGGTTTACCAGTAACTGCAAGTTATGGAATAGAGTTAAAGATTCATAACTGTACATATAAGTCTAAATAGGGTGACTTATCTGTGAATGACCCAGAAGACAGTAAGAGTTTATAAACTGAGTTCTGATTGTGTTTGGTTTTCATACAGAGAGGCGGGGGTTATAAATCTGCATATTCCTTTGGAGTTTGTTTTATTCTTACTCTTTGGTTAGAAATTCCTGGTGGAAAAGCAGACAAAAACAAGCAATGGGGAAAGGACTTCCTGTTCAACAAATGGTACTGGGATACCTGGCTAGCCATGTGCAGAAGAATGAAACTGGACTCTATCTTTCACCATATACAACCATATACAAAAGTTAACTCAAGATGAATTAAAGATTTAAATGTGAGACCTTGAACTATAAGAAGACTTAAATAAAGCATAGGAATCACCATTCTGGACATCAGCCTTGGGAAATAATTTATGACTAAGTCCTCAAAAGTGATTCAACAAAAATAAAAATTGACAAGTGGGACTTAGTTAAACTAAAGGGCTTCTACACAGCAAAAGAAACTATCAACAAAGCAAACAGACAACCTACACAATGAGAGAGAATATCCACAAACTACGCATCTGACAGAAGTCTAATATCCAGAATCTATAAAGAACTTAAACCAATCAACAAGCAAAACAAATAACCCCATTTAAAATATGGGCAAAAGATATGAGCACATACTTCTCAAAAGAAGACGTACAATCAGCCAACAAACATATGAAAAAATGCTCATCATCACTGAACATCAGAGAAATGCAAATCCAAACTACAGTGAGATGCCATCTCACACCAGTCAGAATAACTGTTATTAAAAAGATGAAAAACAACAGATGCTGCTGAGGCTGTGGAGTAAAGGGAATATTTATACACTGTTGATGGGAATTTAAATTACTTCAGCCACGGTGGAAAGCAATTTGGAGATTTCTCAAAGAACTTAAAACAGAACTGCTACTCAACCCGGCAACCCTATTACTGTGTATATATCCAAAAGAAAATAAATTGTTCTGCCAAAAGGGCACATGCATTCTCATGTTTATCGCTGCACTATTTCCAATAGCAAACTCATGGAATCAATCTAGGTGTCCATCAATGATGGGTTGGATTTTTTAAAATATGGTACCTATAGACCTGGAATACTAGGCAGTCATAAAAAAAGAATGAAATCATGTCGTTTTTAGCCACATGGATGGAACTGGAGGCCATAATCCTAAATCAACTAACACAGGCACAGAAAAGCAAATACTACATGTCCTCATTTATAAGTGGGAGCTAAATATTGAGCACACATGAGCATAAACATGGAAACAAGAGACACTGTGGACTACTAGATGGGAAAGGGTGGGAGGCAGCAAGAGTTGAAAAATTATCAACTAGGTTCTATGCTCACTACCTGAGTGCAATATGCCTATGTAACTATTTTATACATATACTATTTGTATCTAAAATAAAAGTTGAAATTAAAAAATGAAAGAAATGCTGGCAAATGAAGCCAGTAAA